AATAATAATAATAAATAATAATAATAATAAATGAATTTTGAAAATTTCAGCAAGACCTCACTTCAATTCTTGAATTCTGTTTTGTTTTTCTTTCGTTTTTTTTTGTTTCAAAGTTCTTATCAACAATTCTTGCATATTTGTTTCGCATTTTAGAATTTGAAATTTGAAATTCAAATTAGCACTTCACAAAAACCAGTATGTCGCCGGCACATATTTTTCCCATTCAAATGCCGCCAAATCATTAAATATTTATTGTCAAAGTGTCTCTCGTATTTATCCCGTCACTCTCAATAAACAAGATTTTTTTCCTCCCATTAGTTTTGCAGTTTTAATTTTGTCGTCTTAGGTTGTAACTTTCATTATTACAATTTTAATGGAGTAAAAGCTAAATTTAAATTTTATCAGATTCATCTCTAACAATTTAAATTTTTTCATACAACTTTTCGTCAATGCCTTTGCCTTTTCTTTCAATTTTTTTCTTTTTTAATTGCAAGAATTAAAATGAATTGTTTAATTTAGGATTTGTTAAAAAGTATGATTAACTTGTGATTGCAATCATCAATAATTATAACAATAATAATACAATACACTGAAAATCTCTCAATTTAAATTTGACTTTGAATTCCAATTTGAATTTTTTGAATTTGTCAATTATCAACAGGAATGCATTCGTCAAGTCATTTGTGTCAAAGTGATGAATCAAATTGCATCAATCTTTTTAGCCCCATTAATCTTTAATCTTATATCTATTTGACTTCAGTTTATTTCATCGGAAAACAAAAATTTTCAATAGTCCATTTCAATAGGCATTAAGTAATTAAAAACTTGAATAATTAAAGACTTGAATAATCCAAATTAAAATCTCAATAGGCATTCTAAGGAATTGGGATAATTAAAGCATATGCCAAGTTTGCATTAAAAGTTATAGCATTTGCAATTAAATTTGCATTCTATACTTGAAAAAAATTGTTCCATTAATTTTTATTGCGGCAAAATTTTTTCTTACGCTTGGTTCGTTTTGATCTCATTCTAACAAAATCATGCATTATTTGTCAGTATCAACTGAAAATTAAATATTCGATTTCTTGTTTGATATATTTTAATCGATACAATGAATGCAAGTAGTCAATCAATAAATTATACATTTACTTTTGTCATAATCAACGAAAAGTTCAATTTGAAATAATTAATCACAGCAATTTCTAATATAGCTATTCGTTTGAAATTAATTAATGGTTGTTGTTGTTGAAAAGTTCAATATTATCGTGAAATATAATTGGATGATATTTTCAAACTAACGTGAATTTTTTTTGTTTTGAAATTTGACAAACTGAAAATTTTTTCATAATTTAAAGTTTCATTTTTATTGATTAAGTCAGATGCAAATTTAATCCCTTTCTTCCTTAATTATTTCTCTTTTCTCCTCCATTCATCCTTCAAATCTTCTTGTTTAGCTAATTTTTATTATTATCACTTTTATTATTATCATTTTTACTTCATTATTATTGTTATTATTATTATTATTATTATTATTATTATTATTATTATTATTATTATTATTATTATTATTATTATTATTATTATTATTATTATTATTATTATTATTATTATTATTATTATTATTATTATTATTATTATTACTTACTTA